GGGGGGGGTTGTATTGGCTGGTTTTGATTATTGGGGGGTTACAACCCCCCCCTCCCATCCCCCTGTAATTTGTGGCCTTGGGTAAAGTGGTTCCTCAGAATCTGCTCCGATTTTCAATAAATTCAATGTCATCTACAGTTGAGGAACATGAGGAGTGTTGGCGATCTTTGACTTGCATACACAGCTTCTTCTCTTATCTTCAGGCTTCCTGTTTTGACGCCGAGTATTATTTTGCCAGATGTGAACACTTTTCGTTTTTTATCTTGTGGACCCTCGAGAGGGTTCGTTCTGGCATTAGCTACCTGTTATGTTAATGACTGGCATGCTTGATGCTGGTGGTTCGCATCTCTCTGTCGGGATGGCAAGAGACGACACCTCAAAAAGTGTGAACAGTAGGCATGGCTCCTTGACCTAGCTTGTGGTAAGGGGTGCTAACGCTCGCTATGCAACCTCGGATGCAGAAGTGGTATATCTAGCAGAAGACAAGCCGGGATGCTTAATAAACAAAACATGCCAAACACGCTAAACAACAAGTCTTAAACTGCAGGAGAGACGATGCTCAAGGCTATTCTGTTGCAATACATTGGGAATCATTTACCGTGGTGTCTGTTTGTGTACAAGCGCAGTTCCCTGCACTGTGAGGTAGGGGGTGCTGTTTAGGATGATACGGATAGCATGTGTTGTATACAGGTATCACAGACACACTGACAAACGTCGTTATAATGTTTGTGCCATAACTTAGAGTACCCACCAAACACACAAAGCTGTAAATATTTTCTGGACTGCTAGTTAAATATAGATTTTCTTTATAGATGTTTTTCAGGGTGTGGGCATGGGCTTGTTGTCTAAGAGATTCAAACTGACATTGCACGTGGCTGCCTAGTTACCAAGATCTGCAGCAAAATCGATTTTAAACAGTTATCTCACGCTCTTATTTACCACAGTCAGAAAAGCAGTACTTTATTCATCCGTGTGGGGAAATTGGGCCATTTACACATATCGTGTCTTTCCCTCCATGTCAGAAACAGACTCACATACATATGATAGGGTCAGGCAACACCCAGCGCCACTGGAGCAGCTGGGGTTAAGCACCTTGCTCAAGGACCCAGCTGTGATACGATTACATTGCTGGCTTTGCTGGGATTTGAACCCACAACATTCCAGACAGACAGAAATCCCTCACCTGCTGAGCTTAACAACATTCTAATGGCAAAAGAATTGAATGATTTGCATAATAGATCCTTCAAAGTGTTATATACAGTACCAGTCGAAAATCTTAGCACACCTCACCTGAAAAACATTTGTTTTTTAACAATATAATGACACTAAGCACATCTGGAGGTTATGTAGTAAGTGTTATCTTGCAAACGAGGAAAGAGATGGAGTACTGTGACAGAACAAGGTAGCCTACTTGTGCTCAGAACTTTTGGAAACTCCTTCAGGACTGAAGGAGAAGCATTCCAGGTGGCTACCTCTGGAAGCTGGTTGAAAGTATGCCAAGAGTCTGCAACGCTGTCATTGAAGAAAAGGAGGGCTATCTTGAAGTGTCTAAAATATGAGAATGTTTTGAGATGTTGAACACTTCTGTTGGTCGTTGCAATATTTAATATGTATTACTTCATCACCTCGAGGCCTACAAGTTGAATGACATAGCTGAAGTACAGAGAAAAGCATTAAAAGTAGGTGTCTCCAGACTTTTGACTGGTACTGCATGGTGCCGTATATGGTTGGTTAGACGGCCAGTCGATGTCCTGAATGTGGTTGCTGTTGTCGCTGGATGGTCAGCCCGTCCCTCACAGCTGAGAGTCTCCATTCCCCATGGAACAGTCGACTCGGGTTTATAGAAAGAATCTGGGGGCTGCAGCTGTCAGAGACTTGGTTTCCTGAAGCGCTTGGAATCTGTGGTAGAAGGGATGAGATGGTCTGGACAGGGCAGCTCAAAACTCCATCTAATTTAACAGTCATTATGCAGACCGTATATAAATCTGTGGTCTTGAGATATGTGGCCTGTCCCTCAAGACCTTGTCTGCCGGAAGATTCAAGATTCTCTTTTTGTCACATACACTGTTATACATGGCGTTGCTTGCAAGTAATTTTACCCATCAGGCTAAGCACTACAGTCTATGGTGCCGTTGGGGCACTAGTGTGGAGATCTGTCAGAGGGTGATCAGCGAGTGCACTCCAGTGAAAGATCTGTTATTGTTGCATGTCCAGGATGGATTGTACTTGATTTCAGGATGCCCTTTATTGTAGCCCTTTGAGTACATAGAGAATGTCAGAAGAGAACTATTGTACTCCATCTCTTTTGAGGCTGTCCTTTAATGGATGGGGGGGGGGGTGTGCCAGGCCAGATATTTCCCCATGGATGTCTGACGTTATCAATGAAGGAATGGGAGGTCTGGTGTGGGAGAGTCGGCTACGAGGCACAGTGTAGGTGTGATGGATTAGAGAAGTTGCGTTTTTAGCTTGGAGGGATGGCTTTCAGCACTGGAAACACATCACCCTTGTTTTTCCCTCAGAGTGTACCCTACCAGTACAATGATCACATGTGTAACTGTCTGTAAATGCATTTCACCTAAGCACCAATAGGGGGCAGTCATGGGTGGGGAGCATTTCTGATAGCACTGCTTTAAAAAATGTGCTCAGGGGTCCAGAGGAACTCAATGTTGAATGAAATCTTTGTAGATTAAAATGAAGTGTTGCTTCTATTAACAAGGTTTTGAAATGAGTTTTTACGATTACGTGATTGAGAATTGATGTTGTCTTGAATGATAGTCTTTTCTCTGAGGACAGAGCGTGTTTGTCAGTGGATCTGTTCCTGCCTCAGTCGCTTTCACATTGAGTTGAGAAAAACATAAACTATTTTTGAGTCGGCATTCCTTGGAGTGATGTCAGCTGGCGATAGCCTCATGGAATCTTTGTGGAATCGTCAGCCACACACATTCCGAAGTGTAAACCACACTTCAGGCCCTGGATGGTTTTTAAAACCGGGGTTTAATCCTGGACCTCTGGCAGTAATTAAAGCATAAAATCTATGCTTTTGGTTAGACAAAGGGAATAATAGGCAAGTCAGGAGAATCACATGAGATGAGATCAAGAGGATCCATCTGACTTTTAGCAGTGAAACTTACAGCATGGTGATCCGCTCCTGAAGAAGGATTCAGTTCCCATGTTTGGGGAACTGCAGTCTACAGCCAGCCCCTTCTGTGTGTCGAAGGGGTTTGGCTACTGTCCCGTCAAAGGATCCCTTTCCTTATGTTAGGAATGCTCAGAATGACAAGTACTCATGGACATTTCAGTGATTGGCTGCAGGACCATCACATGACCTTGAGGTGAAACAAATGTGCAGTGGATATGCTGTGTTACTTTTTATATTTTAGTTCAACACAGATAATAAATCTACAGTTATAGTAACTGAAATATAGAATGTGGTTTTCGTTTTTTTTCTATTTTCAAATCAATGATCTTCTGTCAGCATTAATACATTAAAATTCATAAATCCTTTGTTTGCTGTTGTTTAGGTTGGCAAGTGTACTTGTCAGCAGATTGTGAAATTTGTGCTGAAATAGGTCAATAAAAAAAACAAATTTAGACTTAAGCCACCATAACCATAACAGCAAGCCGTAGAGGGACATATGAAGGGTAAAAATCAACCAGGCTTTTTACTAAAAACTCAGCACTTAATGGGCCATTCTTCAGTATAAATAGTTCATTTACCCTCCTGTGTTTTATATGTCTGTGATATCCAAATTACATCATGTACAGGTCCTTTTTAAGAATCACTCATTCGGTTTATTGTTCTCTCCACAGGATTTTAAGCAACAATAAAATTGAAGAACTCAGAAATGGCTCCTTCCCGGGTCTCTCATCCTTGGAAAGACTGTGAGTATTTCCAAACACACGTTGTCTTTGCCTGTTTACTGGGCATGCGATCGGTCGGCCACCACATGGTGCTGGGCTCCTTCAGGGCCTTGCGTCGTACCAGGAGAAAATGCCTCTGTGATGAAATAAAGGGGGGAGTATTTATTTTGTGTTACTCCCCAGAGCAGTTTACACTCCGCCTGTTACTTTAACCATTCAGTAAATCTCAACCGGACGTTAAATATTTTTAAAAGGTTGCAGAAATCGGTAATTTTTTTTTTTTCACCTAGGAAGCTGACACTCATTAATTTGGGATTGGCGGGATGCTGGTTTGGTGGTGGAGGTCCCTAACCGCCAGGAGTTCTGTGCCGAGCTTTTCCCACGGTGACGGCGCACAACCCTTTCCCATTTGTGGGGCTGGTTGGCGGAGCATTGACGTTTACCATCAGAGTCATACTTCCAGGACAATGAAAATGAAAAATATCATGGCCAGGGAGGGGTCGTGTACTACAGCATGGGGGGGGGGGCTTGAAAGAGGATTGTTTCTTGCAGACAGCCGAGCGTATGGCTGAGTCATTTATACAATCGCTTCCCCTTCCCCCGGAGAGCTGTAGGAAATGCTCCGGAACCTTCCAGCGATGGCCGGCGCGGCCGCCTGATTTATCGCCCCGCGCTGACGTTCCCTCTTAGACAGCGTGCTTCCCCAGAGAGGGTCCAGCTGACGCTGGGTGATTTTTAGCTCGCGTTCCCCTCGGTGAAAAATCAGTGCCCCGCCCCGGCCTCCGAACACGATTTCTGCGGGAGTCGTCACCAGACGGCCTGCTTGTTGTCAGCTTGAGGGGAGCAGACTCTGACGTGTGAGAGTGAGGGTCCTGCCCCTAACCTTCATTCCCGTACCCTACGCAGACCCCCCCCCCCCAGCCACTCCTAACCTTGAGCAGAAGACACACTCTGTCCTGGCCTGAAATGCTTGTCGCCGTGACATCACTCAGAGGTGCGACTGTACCTTCCATGCAAAACGGCCTGATGTTTCCTCCAGGCCGACAGACAGCAGCCTTGGATGCTGAAGCCAGAGCAGGACTGGGATTAAAAATTGGCCCTGGGCTTAAAAATTCGCCCCCATACTACAGTTTGCCTGGTAGGAGTGGGGGGAGGGGGGGTCCCATGATGGATTTTGCCAATTGGGGTGGGTGTGTCAGCCCATACACCCATCCCCCCCCCCTGGGAAAATGCCTGGTATGCCAGATGGCCAGTCCAACCCTGGCTGCAGCTGTTAGGATGATACGCAGAGAGGTGTAGGAATGGCTGTCAAAGCTCACGCCTTCCCTGTGCTCAGGCTCCGTCACCCCGGGTGGGGGGTCAAACATCCGTCAGTCCCCCTAGCAGCAATCTAGCGTGCGTCATGGTAAATCTCTGAGATTGATAAACAGACTCGGCACAGTGTCCCTTGCTAAAATGTGGGAAAATGGTGCTTTCTTCCAGTGTCAACAAGCCAACAAACAGGTATATCAATGGTGTGCCTCATTTGGAGCAGGGGGGAGATGATCGCCCTGCACCCCTAGAGGTGATGGGTTTTGTTTGTTTTACCAAACACTTTTATTCAAAGCGACATGCATTTTGAGAAGCCAGGGCCAGTCAGTGCCTGGAGCAATTGGGGGGGTTAAGGGCCTCACTCAAGGGCCCGATGGTGAAACCACTCAGTTGACACTAGCATTCGAACCGGCGACCTTCTGATCAGAGGTGCAGAGCTACATAGGTAAAGCACGCCGATGTATGTGCTGCTTCCGGACCTCGAAGCCTCGGCTCTCTGGCCACCGCAATGAATCGTGAAGTTCTCTTTGAGTCTGTGTCTAGGCAATGGCTACTGATGTCACTCATCAACAGCCAATGAGAAGCGCCGGGGCTCACGAAGGACGGCCAGATGGCATAAATGAATCAATGATAGTCGAGCTTAAAAGCCCCGCCCATTCTCGTCTGAGCCTGTGAGCGCTGGCAGACTTTCAGTCGGGCCAATAATACGCCGTGTCCACCGGGAATGCCCCTGATTGCCAGCCAATTAGGACGAGAGTGTTACAGACAGTTCAGCCGTCTCCCTCTCTCTCTACCCTCACTGCTATTTCATGTTTTATGAGCCAGTTTGATAATTTCGCAAGCGAGGGTGGGTTTTTTGTTTGTGGGGGGCCCACACAAAATGTCACTTTGTGGCCCCTCACCACCCACACTGTAGCAAACACATGTCGGGCGGGGGGGGGGCTAGGGCTAGGGGAACTTAAGCATCTGCCCCATTAAAATCAACAATATGGGGAGAAAATATGTGGAACCCTGGTGGAAACTCGAACCCGGGTCCCAGAGGTTTGAGGGTCAGTGCTGACTGCTGCACACATGTATTTATATGTGTGTGTGTGTATATATAGTTCAATTATGGATGTACTTCAAGTGGCTTAGACAAAGCTTTGTGTATGAGCGCCTTTCTATTCATTTAATTGTCCAATTAGCTTTAAGCGCACTTGTCACGCAATCAAATGCTGCCGAAAATTAGACTGCCCTACAATTGGCACCTGTTCATATTTTTGACAATTTTCAAAACCGCCGCTGCTGTAAAAACACAAGATCATGGACAAATTTTTGAAAAGGGAAATTTCAGGAAACGTATTAGATCCTGAACCAGCAGGTTAAGAGCAATGTGATACGTGTTCTAGGTACGAGCCACTTAGTATTATATGTTAATCAGAGGTGTGCTATGGGATAATTACCTTATGACAAGTGAGCCGTGGTAGATAAAGGGTGGGAAAAATTGCTGTAGTGTAGTGACTGTTTATGGCCAACGGGGGGCAAATGGGTGGTTTGCGTGGTGGTGAACGCCGCCGGTATTCGTGGACCATGGTAATACTACACCCCAAATCATGCTCATTTTGCTTTCATAAATAATGAGATTCCCTGTAAGATACATCATGCGATTACCTTTGTGCGCGTGTGTATATTTGCTTCACAAACAACAGCACCAGATACGGTTAGCGGTTTATGCTGTGTCACGTCGATCGGGTCCTGATGTTGCATTCTCCGTGTTCCACAGGGATATTCGGAATAACCTCATCAGTCACATCCAGCCGGGGGCGTTCGCTGGACTCCTGGCGCTGAAGAGGCTGTAAGTATTCCGGACAAACCGGCTTTTGCCGTGGGAGGAGGTTAAATCACTGGCAAGCTGTGATTCTGCCAAGTAAAGATAACATCACGGACCTTGGCAGAGAGCGGCCATCGCAGGGACCTCCGACACTGGGGCTAGTGGTTTCCGCGTCTCTTTTTACCGCGGACAGAAATGTTTTGGCCCGTGATGTATTTATATTTCAGGTAGATTCCAGCAGCTGGCTGTTTTGGCTGCACGAACAGCTTCTCCTTCGGAGGTCATCGCCGGGCAGATGTGGCCCCACATGTCGCGTCTTCATTAGGTCACTGAATAAGGCCCGCCTCAGCTGACGGTTGTGAATTTCTGCCTGAACCGACCTTTGTTTTCTTGCAGGCAGGACCTCCCGTTTTTCGGGGGCCCTAAGACAATTTTGATTAACGTAATTATTTGTTGTTTTCCTTCCCATTCTGACAGGCTGATCAGATGGAGAGCGCCCTCTGGTGGCCACTGGGCTCTAAGCAGCCGTTTAATTGGCTTATGCCTTGGGCCACCGATGCTTGTATTTTTTTATATATATATACAGAATGGAAAATTTATTTGAAATACATATGAAAAGCTTTTCATGCATTTCAAGGCACAACAGAACAGTGAATAGTAATAAGAACTGCAATATTGCGAGGAAGGGAGGGGTGTCTTTGTCTTTTCATGGAGATCGAGGCCTCCTCCTTCAAGTTTCTCCATTGTCGTCATCTCGATTTCCACGCCTGTCTCTTCTCACCGTTCTTTGAGGTGTCGCCACCCTCACTGGCCAACTGTACCCCTTACAGCTTTTAATATCCGCTCTCCTGCTAGTTCCTGCCTCCTTAGATGGAAAGGAGTGGGGGGGGGCGAGGGCAACTCTAAGATTTTTCAGGGTGAGTGGTGCATAAGAGGTACCATAATTTATACAGAGGGGCCGGACTTATCATTAGCCAATGGCGTGTTTTGAATCAGCGAGTGACAGGGAAGAGGGCACTCCATGGGCCAATGAGCTTTCAGTTGTGGTCAATGCTACTATGACCCCGCCCCTGTATGCACCCCCGGGAATAAGCGTTCAGCTTTGTCTTCTTTCAAGGTTGGGAAATGTTTGGACCATTTTATATTATTGTATGTATAAAATGCCCAGGAGCCAGATATTCGTATATTTGCTGCAGCTCTCCACTTTCCATCGGGGCTAGCCCCAAGTCCGTGTCATGTGACCCCTTGGCATCAGGAAGGCGGAGCTAGAAGCCACAAGTGCGTTAGAGGAAAGTGTACAAGCGGCCAGGGACAGGTCTGGCACCATCAACGTGCCCTTGCACGCTCAACCCCCCAGCGCTGGAACAGAAGGTGTAATTAGCTGCCTGCACTGGCGACCCGTACCCCTGGCTGAGATCGGACTCCTTAAATAGAGGGAGCGATGTTATAGCGCAACCTGTCATCACCTGCGAGTGTGTCTCTGGGTGAGCGCGACTCTAAGTGCAGGTAGAAGTCGGCCGCTGGAATCGCGGAAATGTCGTGCAGCGGTAATGGTGTCACTGTCCAGAGCAGAGCCTGACCTTTAGTCTGGTTAATAGTAACATTTCGTACCCTTTTCTGTTTTAAAGTCTTTTAATAAAAGTGAAATTAATCATCATAGGAGAAACACTGTCAGTAGCCGACAGGTTTGACCCTCTTCTCACCGGTTCGTACCGGTTCTCACCGGTTCGCATCCCAGAGAGGGGGCACTTCTCTGGGACTCCCGAGCAAGTTAAGCATCCAAATAACACCAGTAAAACATCCGGTTGAATAAATTAGCAAAAAAAAATAAAAATGAATAAACACAACGGCTAATTGTAAATATTGAAAAATAGGTTATTTCTAAGTAGTGAAAACTAATTCAAAACCTTTTTTGAGATTTCCCTCTGTTTGTATAAAACTTAAAATAAAAATTCTCAGTCAGGGTTTATGAGTTTGCCCCTCAAGTGAAGTTCATTGCGGACATTAATGCGATGGTCTGAGTGCATTGATAATAGTCAATAGGAGCTTCTTGCCTATGACCTCAAGGTTAATCCAAAATATCTGTACCCTGCTCTCACCAGTGAACGTGGTTCCGGATTTGCCTGAGGGCGATGATGGTACCATTTGGACTTCCAAAGAACATGCCGTCCTAATTATTTTAGTCCTTACAAAGCTCAGCACTGTACATACGCTCTTTTTCCCCAAGTGCCCAGTATTAAACATCTGGTTTCTGTCATTCAGTGGTTAACGCGATTCCGTCGTAATACACAGTCATTTTATAGCGTGCCTTATGCTCCTTTGTCCCGTGGTCAGGTGTGTGCCTCTCAAACAGGCTGTTTATTTGAATCTTTTGGCAGTTTTACCCTTATGGAGATCTGGCGATTGGTTTCCATGAAGAGAGCGGAGTTGTGCTTTCATAATCAGTGATGCGTAGATGGTGAGATGCACCTTATGCACGTTGTCCGGATTTTGGAGGTGGCATTCTGAGGAACGATGGCCTCCTTGGAAACAAGTCAGTTCCATTCAGTTGGATTCAATTCAGCTTTATTGTGACTCCTGTAGCTGGTGCAGCAAGTTTAATATAGAATAATGGAATGGAATAATACAATAATATAATAATACATTTTAATTGTATATTTGTATATTGAATATCTTCAAAAAAAGTGTGAAGTATAATCAGAGTGTGAAGTATAATACGTAGATATGTTAAGGTATAAACACTGAGTTCTGTAAACAACTGCAATAGGTAATGAATATTTCAGCAAATATGTCAGATAAGGAATCATACCTTATCGTAGGTACTGTATCATACCTTCAGGCCAAGCCTGAAAAGCAGGCCGACCCTAGAGCTCATCTGCATCCTCTTGTTTTGTGGTCACATGACCTATTCTATGCACCGTTTTGTTTACATAAGAACATAAGAACTATACAAACGAGAGGAGGTCATTCGGCCCATCGAGCCATTCGGCCCATTTATTTGTCTGGTGGTGTGAAAAAACTATGTTACGTTTAGGGTAAAAGGCACGATTGAAGGCGATGGGGACTTGGGCAGTTTGGCTTCTTCTGGTCCATCTCTGCATGTTCTATGCCTCGTTAATTAAATATGGGGCTGGCCGTGAGTAGGCGAGGCCCAGCGAACAGAAGACGTTGGACTAGCCTTCCTCAGAAATCTGTCTTGGAACAGACAAAACGAGACAAGGAGAAGCATTCACGCCTTTAGTGTTAGGGCTATGCTTTGGCTAGAGAGACCCAATAAGCCCTGGTACTCACGCCCAGCCCGATGTGCAAAGTTATAACACACATGCACATATAGGGATGGATGTCGATAGTAGAGTATGTCTGTTTGTTTGGCTTTGAGGAAGTAGGTGATTCGTAATGGAACTTTGTGTTGTGCACCACAGTGTATTCCTTGAGTATCTCTCCATTTCGCTAATTATTACGATTTTTTTCATGCATCGAGATCTATATCGCAGCATGTGTTCGCATGTTTGCCAAACTGAGCTCTCAGTAATCGCTGATAAGGCTGTAGTTGACTGTCATTTTTTTTTCTCCGGAATCTAGGGTCACAAGTAGATTAATTGCCTTTGATGTTTACAATGTTCATCACAACTCGTTCATCTTAAGCCTGAAGGCAGGAAGTTCAGTGCGACATTTTCACGAGCGTTTAGCTGTTATTTGAGTTACATTTACATTTACAGTAGTTTAAGTAGGATGTTGAAGTGCTTCAGTTAAAGCAAATATATTTTTCATGTCCACATTATAGCACAGACGTATCATTTAATATTCTTATTCCCTGCATAGGAAATTCCACTGAACTGGTATGTAATACTACATGGAATACTTCTATCATCCTGAAATCCACTCATTTATATTTGTCCTCTGTACAGGAAACGATGTTTTTGCTCATATATCTTATATCATATATCAGGACTTAATTCTATTAGGTCCTGTTGTTCCTTAAAGGTGACGTTTAGCGGTTTGAAGATTATGTCGGCATGTGACCTTGCCATCGTGAGCTCGTCTTCCTATCAAATCAAAATTTTAACCAATATTTAAAAAAAACCTCTCTGGATCTCAGGAGGGTATAAAACTGTATGATCTGGGATTTCCTCACATACATTTAGCCATATTAAAGTGTTTTTTCCGTAAGAGTGTCATGTGCCTTGTGATCCTGGTGCCTATCCAAGAGGTACACGGCACAAAGCCGGCAATAACACGCTTTATTTTGGATTTTTTTGTAAATATAACCTCCCGTCTTCTTTCCCCCCTTCCAGAGACTTGTCGAACAATAGACTCGGCTGCCTACATGCGGACGTGTTTGCCGATCTCCCAGGTCTTGTTAGATTGTGAGTAATTCAAATTTACTGACTCATAACACAGTTTGTCTGGAGTAACACTTGGTCATTTATGACATCATTTATTTTTAGGTTTAGCAGCCTGTAAAATCACACCTATATTTTATGCTATCCAGAATAAATATTCACAAGACCACAGGGCAGAACAGTCATGCTGGGGATACAATACTGTGACCTTTTACTTATGAGACCAGCTCTTTAATTGCTATTACACTGGGCCCCATAAAATGAAATAAAAACTCAGAATCTCTCTTGGAGATGGTATTAGACGCACATCATTCTTGTTTCATTACACTGCCCCCATACAGTGTGAAGTAATTAACTTTTTTAACTACTGTAGGTCAGCCATTCATTAAGGGGCCAAAACAAGGCCTTTTTTAATTTGATTCTGAATTTCTGACTTTCAGAAATCTCTCGGGGAATCTGTTTGCGTCTTTCTCCCCAGGAGCCTTTGACAGACTCGCGTCTTTGAAGTCGGTGTAAGTTTCACTCCGCCGTGTTGTTTTTGCCTAACAAACTTCACCTGCAATGTGAGAAAGTTTGAAATCACGCGCATTCCGGCGTGTGATGGTGCAGGATTGATTGTGTTTGTTGAACAAAATGATGCAATGTTCTTGTTTGTTAGCTGGGAAAAAAAGTATGCGAAACTCCTACAGAACTTTGATCTGTTTTAAGGGAATAATTTGAATCGGTTATTCCAATCAGTGACAATTGGGTGTGAGTTATGCTCTTCCTTATGAAAACACACTTGTCATTATCAGAGCCTGTTCCCCATGTCTGGGGGCTTGTGGATGTGAATTATCGAAAGCGGTTTTTGAGGATGTCAGAAAAAGAGCTGTCAAAAAGAGCTTACGAGAATGAAGAGCGTTATAAAGCCCTTCGGACTCCATCAATCCCCAGTCAGCCATGGAGACTAAAGTGGAAAAAATCTGACATGCTGTTACTTTTCCCAGAAGTGGTTGTCGAACAGAAATTCCTCCAGGGGTTCAGTTTCCCGCGGTAACAGCGATGGATTTGCAGAGGCCTCTTGGCTAATTTCAATGTTCCTGAACCCACTGTAGGGGAAATACTGAGCAAGGGTATTATTCATGGGAGGAGAGTGAGGAGGAAGCCAAAGAAGATGGCTTCTCATCTCAAACTTGTTAAAGATACAGTAGATACAGTTTGACCTTTGGCATAAATAGGAACCATGTTTGGCTAACACCAAGCACTGAAGTTTCACCATCCCAACTATGAATTATGGTTACTATGTTTAATAACAATGCTGAAAGTGATTTTTCTGTGAATAAAATTCTCTATTATGAAGGCTAGATGAAGATCTGATGAAGTCAAAATGACACAGGAACGAAGGTTTTTAAATCAGTGAACTTGGTAAATGTAGAGTGAATGGCTTTTCATTCGAGGATCTAGGAGTGCTTTCTGGTGAACTGGCATCCCAGCAGCAGGACATAGATTTTAAGGTAGACTCCATCAGCGGGTCTTATTGCCCTACCGAACCTGCACTCTGTATGACCCTCGTCCCGCAGGGAGCTTCAGACGCCCTACCTCCTGTGTGACTGCAGCCTGCTGTGGTTGCTGCGCTGGGCCAGGGACAGGGCTATCACCATAAGGGACACCCGCTGCTCATACCCGCGTCTCTTACGGGGCCGACCCCTGCCTTCCCTCCAGGCGGATCGCCTTACCTGTGGTAAGACATACCTAGCTATAGATCTGATTGGCTGGGAAAGGACGGGCCTGCTGTCAATCATCAAAAAAGTAACAAGCTGGGGTATTTACTAATTTTAATAATATAGCCTGACAAGTCAGCTCTTTGTGCTGTTAGCTTAATGTTAGGTTTAGACTGCTGGCTAGGGTTAGGTTTAGGCTGCTGGTTTAGGGGTTAGTTTTAGGCTGCAGGGTGAGGGTTTAGGCCGCTGGCTAGGGTTAGGTTTAGGCTGCTGGTTTAGAGGTTAGTTTTTGGCTGCTGGTTTAGAGGTTAGATTTAGGCTGTTGAGTTAGGCTGAGGGTTTAACTGTTGGATTAGGGTTAGGATTATGTGTCAGGGTCAGGCTGCAGGGTTAGTGCTCGCTTTAGGCATCTGGGTTAGGTTTAGACTGCTGGTTAGAGTTTTGGTTAGGCTTCTTGGTTAGGCTTAGGCTTCTCGGTTAGGGTTAGGCTTCTCGGTTAGGGTTACAGTGTTAATGCTACAGTTTTTGGTAATAACACTCTATGGAAAAATTAGTTTTTCACTCGGCAGATGTCAGTATTTAAATGTGATATTTGCAAAGGATTCATCCCCTAACAATTTGTCTTCTCTTTTGAATAAACCATCATATTCATTTTTGTGTTTTATTTTTTTATGTATTTATGTTTAGAATATATGCTAAAGAAGAATTAAATGTCACATTTGCATTGCTCTCATTAAGGGTCCATTCATCTTTGATCCTGAGCAGAATATGGTAAAATACTGTTTTATTCAGGGTTTGGGCATTTGGATACTTACTTTTAGCATAACTTTGATGCAGCTGACGGAAGAGCATGCTTGTGTCCTACAGTAGGTGGGGGTCATTAATGAGGTGTTTTAATGGCCAGAAGCTGCTCGTTCTTTGAAAAGCTTTAGTGGTTTTCGCTGCGGTAATAAGGACACCACCCTTCCCAATCCCAGACGCCCCTCTGGAGCTGCCTTCCTTCCAGATGATTCCATCCCAGCGGCAGATCGTGTTCCAGGGCGACAGCCTTCCGTTCAGGTGCCTGGCTTCCTATGTTGACCAGGACATGAGCGTCCTCTGGTTCCAGGACGGGAAGGCGGTGGAGGCCAATTCCACCGAGGGCATCTCCATCGAGAGGACATTAGGTTGCTCCTACATCTCCAGGTAGGGCGAAATGGAGGACTACAACTGGCTTACAGCTGCAGTCCCAGCAATAGAGTTTCCCATGAAGCCTTGGGGTTTATTCGGGATATTTGTTGCTGTTCTGCATCATATGATAATTTCATATTTTACCCATTTAAAGAGCTGCTTATTTTACTGGAGTGATTCAGGATGTATATCTCACTGAGGTGCAACATCACTCTTGGGAATAGAGTGGCAGCTGGTTTTCAGGGGTGTAATGAACACTATACGGCGTCTGCCTGAGTAGCCTCTCTCTCTTTCCTCTGCCTCCCTCCATCTCTCTCTTTGCCGGCTGCAGCGTGCTCACCATCTCCGACGTCCAGCCGGACTCCACGGGCAGCTGGGAATGCCTGGTGAGCACTCGGCGTGGGAACAGCACACGAGCCGTCCACGTGCTGGTGCTGGAGAGGTCTGCTGAGCACTGCCCACCTGATACAGTGACCAACAACAAGGGCAAGTTCAGGTGAGGGCCCGGGGTTGTCAGGGAAGGACTGCCGCAATTGGAGATATCCGAATACCCCATCATCTGCAGCATTTTTCTGCAGTAGAGGACGCCTGTGTGTGTCTTTCACATATCCACGGCAGCTACATGCTAAGTATTTAATAACAGTAATGTTGTTTATTGTTGCTCTAACCTTTCCTGTTATAAATGTGACGCAACTTCTTCTGTCTCAGCTGGCTCATCAGTGACATCTACTGGTGAAACATCGCTAGTCCATCTCTCCTGTCCAGTACTGTACTGTAATATCATTTATTATTTTTCATGGAACCCGTACCAGCACCTGTGACCTTTACCTCAGAGGTCCAGGAACATCTCTGGATGCTGCTAAAGTAAAACCAATTAAACATACTTTTAATTTTAAGGTGGGGATTTCAAATCACCATTATATTTTACATTGGACAAGATTTACTATTAGCTCTGCTGCTTATCTCCTTGCTACCCAATGAATATACATTCCGTGCTGACCAGAAAGTCTAGGGACGCTTGCAGAATTCTGTAAAAATTGCAAGTTTATTAGATTCACAACAAAAATCTATTATCAAGCAACGTTTAACATATCTGCACATTTCTTCCGCACAGACATTTTCCTTTCATTAAGTGTCGTGATATTTTTTTTGACTGACTCATTCAATTCTGCTATTACCATTTTGCTGTTGTTTGCAATTAGAGTCATTAGAATCATTCTGAATACTTAAAACTACTGGTTGTTCCTAATTTGACATATATAATTATTATTTTATTTTTTTTGTAAGCAAATGAATAAAGTAATGATTTTTTTGTTATAAAGTCCAAAACACTTGTGATATTTTTCCTGAATTAGGCAAGTGGCCAAAGATTTTCTGTGAGCACTGTAAAGGAGAATAAATTATGAGCTGCTTATCAGCAGAATGCATGGAGCTGTCGGCCACAGGGTTAATTATTGTTGTTGTCGTTCTCCAGGTGGCCGTGGACTCTGGCTGGGATAACAGCCTATCTGCCCTGCAGCCGGGTGAGCTCAGGAACCGGCCTCCACGGCAGCGTCCCCGGAGAGGAGCACCGGGCCTGGCGGAGGTGCGAGCGGGACGGCATCTGGGCCCAGGGCGACTACTCAAACTGCCAGTACCTGAAGGACGTCACCCGTGTGCTCTTCATCATCAACCAGGTCACAGCCAGCCACTCACATGCCTCTGCTTCTGGTCCGTTTCACAGTGTGAGGGTCTCGGTAAAGGCCGACCAAGGGCAAGGCCGACCACAACTGAAACCTTCTTGGCTCTCATCTTGTCAACGTATGAACTCCTTGCAAATGCTCCTCAGGCCATTTTAAGGGTCGTATTTGAAATAAAGTCACTGTATGCAGGGGCGTCAGAAGCATTTTGAATGTGGGGAGGGACACACTGGCATAAAGCTAATATTTTATGTTAAATGTGGGGGTGTCCAAACCAATAATTATGAAATCTGAGGGGGACACGTTCCCATGACTGTATGGGAAAAAGACTTAAAATGCCCCACTCTACCTACACTACTGGCCAAAATTGTGTGAACACTTCTGTTTTTAGAGATTGCAGAACTTTATTCAATTGTTGCTCCTGTTACTTGTTCAATCATCAAATGTATGATTTTACAAATATACACTGGATGATTATATAAGGAACTTGAACAACGGTTAAATAAAGTTGTGCAATCTCTAAAAATTGGAAGTGTTTACACAGATTTTTGCAACTCGTGTATGCAGAAGATTGATACGTTGCTTCGTAGACAATGCAATGCAATCGGGTGAAGATCAATGATCAAGGCTTAATGTGGACCCGATTTTCATTGTTAAACATCAAAAAATGCAACACAATGGGGGATGAAAGGATGTTCAGTTGGGGGGACGTGGTTGTTCAATCACGTGAACCCGGAAAATCAAACACTTAGCCAACCCCCCCAAGTAGGCTTACTTAGTGAGGTCTGTGGGGCCCATCAGGCGTTTCTATAGTTCAGCATCTCCTTGATGACTTACTCTCAGAAGTCCTCCTCTGACTAGAGTCACTGACATCAGAGATCAACTGAACGCACCCTCGAGTCGCCTGTCAATGCGACAGCCGCAGTGTGAAGGTTGATTAGGAGCTGCGGGATTTCACTAAGGTATTCTTTATTGACATGAGCAAATGCCGTGTCATTTTCAGGTCTAAGGTTAATGCATGTATGCCCATATTTTACCACATAAAGGAGCAGATGGTTCATTTTCATACTACTTCAGAAATCCTACTTTGAAAAAAATGCGAAGATCGTACACGGTCTTCAAAACCTGGCTGTTTAATGCTGGAAATCCAGATCACCAAGAGAAGCTCGGCACCAGAGGATTTTCTCTAATTCACATTCCCTCAGCGAAAAACCCTCTACACTTCACTGCATCTTTCCGAGTGAATCAATTTTCAATGTATTTGTTTCTGAGAAAAGACTAACAGTCTGTAGCAAAACCAGATTTTTGTGGCCTATCTTTTATGGCCAATGATTAGTAGATGATTATTACCAGTAGGGGCTCCACTGAGCACATAAAGTTCATGCCTGTATATATATCAGCCAATGCCTTGACGAGGGACAATCAGCAGATACTGGTCACCTCCCCCAGATGCCCCTGAACCTCACCAACGCAGGGACCATCGCCAGGCAGCTGCTGTTCTACGCCGAGGAGGCTGCCAGCTTCTTCGACAAGATGGACATCATCTTTGTGGCTGAAATGATCGAGAAATTTGGCAAGTTCGCTGGGACGTATAAGGAGGTGGGTTCTGCTGATGATTCCTTGAAGATGGCTTGGTCGACCATATTTTGACGAGTGACTATTGCTGCGTGATCACATATAAGATATGAGCCCTCGGTGTTGTATGGCATTGGTTCTCAACCCAGTCCTTGTGGTCTTGGGTTCTCAAACTTGGGTTTCAGTGACGTTTCTGGGAATCTAGTGAGGTGTGATGAAAAGACCAACATCAATTTTCATTTGACCGTAGTAGGAAACCAACATGTACTTAGAAACGGCTGAAATAATTACAGTGCAATTCAATGAGATAAGAATAGTCAGTAGGTGAAGTTAAATAACGATTTTCACACTGTAGTTCTGAAGCACAATTTCTAAAGTGTGTTTTTTTTTATCAAATACAGAATAATTAGTAGAGAACCAAGAGCAGTTTTAAGGTAAGACTGGCTCCTGTAGCGTAGTCCGGCTTGAGGATGTGTGGAACAGATAAATCAGAGTTTGAGAGTCTACAGTACCTGCATGGCTTCGCTGTCCTCCATGCAGATGGCAAAACGCCATATTTTGTCATTACCCTTGTGTTCTTGACCCTGGATTCCGATGCCGCTGCTCCCTGTGGTGTGGAGAGGCTGAATTTACCGCTCCTTTTCATGGTAATGATTTTGAGGGAGCCATCTGCCCTTAGCTCTCGGAGATGAAGGAAGGCCCAGGCGAGCAGGTGGAGGGAGATGATGGATCTTGAGAGGGGTCATTACCTGCGGCTCACTCCGCTTATCAGTTGTCTGCCCTCAGACAGCTGGGGTACCTCGGGATCCAGGCATGTGGCTCCGCTGTGTCACATGACCAGGGAGTAACCCTAACGCTCCCACACTACCCCACTAACTACCGCCACTGAACCAGCTGGAATACTACGCTAAATCCTCTTTAACTACCTCCCTGCTGGCATTCCCAATTCCCCTGCCACAGAGGGCCACTTTGCTCTTCTGAAACAACGAACGGCTCCCCCCGCTGGCTTTCTGGAGGAGCTCCATGTTTGTCTTTTATTTCGTTTATCATTTACTTCGCCATTTCACTTACTAAGAAACCCCGCCCCCCAATAAAACCAGTAGCTTGTCCTCAAACCTGATGCTTAATTTTCCTCTGTGATTGGCCCTGTCTTATGGCTTCTGCTCCACCCAACCCCAGTCCTGCCCCCTCAGAAGAGCCCCATCCATTCCTCCTGTCTCAGCATCATGTGGTCCCATATACCCTCATGTAAATGGACTTACTACCCCCCCCACATCCCGCTGTATGATATCCCACAATGCCTCACTGCATCTTCGTACTCATGGTCCAGCTGCTCTCAGGCTGAACAGAGTGGCCTTGTGGCATTTAATCCCCAGTGGGATCGCAGTGACAGTTACAGATAGCATGTCGGTGGGAAACCACAGGAGCAAGCGGACCACTGTCTGGCTACCGTGCTGTGACAAGAGAGCTGGCCTCATTCCAGCGGCCAAGCTACACCGGCACTGACAGGAGAGCACCTGCAGGGGGTGCCGTCAGTCATCTTGGGCTCAGTAGCCAATCAGAGTTATGGGGCACACTGTATTCTAGTATATTTGCATCCACACAGGAGAATGGTTTCTTATCAGGAGGTAAGGAAGCTGGTGCCCATGCGTGAGCTTGGTGGCCTTATGGTGAACCAGGGCCTGGACAAACAGCTGAGCTTCAAGTGCAATGCGACCAGCACCTGAAGGGGTAGGGCTAGGGGTGTGTATTTGGGGGATTTGGGTCCTTTTCGGGGCCACAAACATAGCGACACGTGCTATCAACACACAAAATTCACATTGTGTTGAAATGCTATCCGATAGCCTAAACACGGCTTGACAAGAGTGTTGCTGCTGAAGATGCTACATTTTTAATATTTCCGGCTTTATGCAAGGGTTCACTGCAGCTGTATGGTCATCCTTGAATAACGGTGATGTTTCCCAGCAGCCTTTGCTACTGTAGCGGCACTGACCTGATGTGACGCCGGTGCACTTTGCACGCCCACAGCTAGGGGACGTGATGGTGGACATCGCCAGTAACCTGATGCTGGCGGACAGGGAGCTGCTGCGGCTGGCCCAGCAGGAGGGGCGGGCCTGCTCCCGCATTGTGCAGTGCCTGCAGAAGATCCAGGGCCACCAGGTGCACGAGTGAAGCCTTGAAAGTTGGTCGCAGAGAACATGTGATGTGTGGTGAAGCCATTCGGTCTCTTCCGTTCATCTGGGTCCATCCATCCAATACAGGGTCACTGCGTTTGGATGTGTGCCAACTTGAGTCACTTCATAGAGCTCCAGTCCACTTTTAGGGAGCTTCTTTCAAACATTCGTCGTCCTTCATGTAGAGAAGTGTTCCTGTGCTCTTCTGTTTGTGGCCCTATGGCCTCAGATCAGCACTGCATGTTTACAAACAATTTTGTATACTTGGCTCATTTCACCCTTGACTGAGACTAAAAAGTAAAATATAAGAACCACCCTAGAGCATAAGGACTAGAGATTTCCTTCCACAGCTTCAGAATTTTAGCTAATCCAACTTAAATCAGGAACGAGACAGTTCGGGTTGGCAGAGAGCCGAGGCATCACAGCTATCTCACGTCGCCTGAGGTAGGACAGGGGGCACAGTGTGGTCACTGGCACACGCTTGACATTGCAGGCCTCCCGTAACATCGCCCTGGAGGCCCACATTCTCCGAGCCAGCAGCTTCGATGGCATGACCTGCATGCTGTTCCAGAAGGTGGCTCCAGATCGGGGAGCCCCCCGTGAGCTTGGTGGCCGCGAGGCGGACGGGAGCCTGGACAAACAGCTGAGCTTCAAGTGCGACGTGACCAGCACCCATTCCAGTGCAGCCCTCAAGGTCTGTTGGCCTCCATTGTAGCCCTTTTGGGGCTACAGTCTGGGCTATAGTGGGTTTTTCTTGAGGGCACTGGACATTGATCGATCAGCTATCTTATTAGCATCTTGCTGTGTTTGTAGTGTATTTTATAGCTCCTATTCCAATGCTAACTTGCACTTTGCATTTCTTACATGCAGGGGTTACACCGGAAAACCCTTCTTTCTCAACTTATGCTTCCTTGACTCCTTGATGTACTATCTGCATGGCTTCTACATCATATTGGGCACAAGTGCCTGCTAAACATCTAAACATAAACGTAAATCCAATTTTAGATGTCGCAGAGATTACCATGTAAAATAAACCTTAGGCGAGACTAACACAAGCTTTGTTCTGAACAGTAGGAGCTGAAAGTGATTGAATTTCATCAGTACCAACACTCGGGTACTAAAGAGGAAGGAGCCTTAGAGAGATGCCATGGTTAACGGACTTGCCCACGTGACGTAGCTATGATACTCTCCTCTCGCTCGTTTGCTAGAACAACATGGTGGAGGCGTCTATCCAGCTGCCGGCCTCGCTGCTCTCCCAGCTGCCAGGTTCCGGCCCAGATGACGACGTCCACAGGCTGCAGCTGCTGGCCTTCAGAAATGGGTGGCTTTTTCCATCCATGGGAAACTCGGGCAACAGGACGATCGTGGCCACACCAGTCATCCTCATCCAGATAGGTGCGTGTGAAAAGCCTTACAGTAAAAGCATGTAACATGGGTCACAGGGCAAGGATAAACACGTTTACAGAGGGTCAACATTAAGCGAAAGTAGCCTGAACCAGCACCTCTAGTGTCATGTCTCGTTCGTGTCCTCCTGTGTGCCACGCCCCCTCGTTAACTACGTGTGGAATCCCTGTGTTACCAGCTGTATCTAGTCTTGTTTAATCGAGTTCGTGTATTTAAGTGCCTCCCTCTTCGACTTTCCCTAGTTCTGTCATTAACGTCGTTACGTGTTTTTGCCTCGTGTTCCATTATGTTCGCCCAATAAATCCCTCGTTCCCCGCATCTTCTGCTCCTTCTCCTGCTTCCCTGGTCCATGCTTCCCCTTGGGTGTGACATCTAGGTCTCAGAGCAACTGTTAAGATTTAGTTCAGTAATGACTATATAAAACAGAAAATAGTTATTTATTGTTAATTAATTTTATTATTTAGCTATTATTTAGCCTTATAATTTATTATAAACTAACTACAATATCATTTATTATTCAGCTGACATATTTTATTACAATATTTACAGCTACCTTATAATTTATAATTATCTGCCATATATTTTATTTATCTACCATGTAATTTATTATAATTCAACTACCAAATAATTTATTACTTAGCTACCTTATATTGTATTATTTAGCTACAATGTAATTTATTTAGTTAGCTAGCAAACTATTAGAATTTAGCTACCATATTGATTATTATAATTTAATTATGATTTATTATCATATCTTTTATTATTATTTAGCTATCATAATTTATTATTATTCAGCTACTATATCATTCATGATTATTATTATCACGTTTTATCAAGTTGTGAAGTTTAAGGTTAGTGGTATACAGTAGTTGGCCAGACTCTGTTTGTTTTCCAAAGTTTGTGAGGTTTTATTGTGGAATTTGCTAAGAACGCCTCTGCACCATGCAGATCAGCATCCTGAGACGGCCCTGCTCAGCCCCGTGAACGTCACGCTCCGCCGACCAAGCCACGGCTCCGACGCCACCGCTGCCCGCTGGAACGCGAGCCTGATGGACGGCCAGGGGGACTGGGAGCCCAGCGGCTGCCGTCTCCTCCACGCGGACGCCAACCTCAGCACCATCTCCTGCGAGCGGCTTGGCGGATACGCTGTGCTGATGGTGAGGCTTGCAGTCACCGACAGGCTGCACTCAGTATATATGCAGCTTCTGATCTGCTGGGGTTATTAAGGTGTGCGTATCTCCCCCAGGATCTGAGTGGAGGGGAAGGCTTTGCTTCGGACGCTGCCTCGCTGCACCCTGTGGTCTACGCCACGGCAAGCGTCCTGCTACTCTGTCTTCTGCTCATCCTCGCCACTTACGCTTTACATCACAAGTACTCGTCCCCATGTTTTTGCTACAACATGCTTCAGTTTTCTGCTCATCTCCTACTATTCACATCCTCACTTAGGCTTTAACACTCCGTCATCTTCTAAATCAATGGTTCTCAACCTTCTTTTATTCAAGGACCCCTTGTGTCCAAGAAAACATGTTTGCCCCCCCCCCCCCCCACCTACACAGGTTATAATATCGTTTCTCTTGTAATTGTTAATGTTTCATAGCCCTTTCGTTTGTGTCCCGTGTTTGAACATAGTACAAGCTATCAGACCATCCCAAAATAACACACGTAAAATGCTCAATCAAGTCACAATGATTCCCCGCCTTTCCCCTCCACCAGCTTTGAGCGTGACAACCGAAGCTCTCGTGCTGTTTACAACCAGGAAGGAATACTATTAGTTTCCATGAAAAATCTTTGATCGATAAAGACCCAAAAGAAATGTCGTAATAAATGTTTATTGATATAAATGTTATTGTGTCATCCTATATCTCCTATTGAAAACACACTGATAGCGATGTTGTACATTTTTCCATGCTTTTCAAGTAAATTGCACGACCCCCCCGTCCTTATTGCAGCCCCCTTGTGGGTCCTGCCCTTGCCCCCAGTTGAGAACCATTGTTCTAGAGGAAATGATTTTTCTTGGTGTGTCTTTTAACAGTAATCAACTGTATCTGTCTGTGTACATTGTTTTGATAACAATCTAGCAAGAATTTTCAATTCAATTCAATTCATTCATCTTACATTCCTTCAGGAAGTCGTTCATGATCATACAAGACATGTGAAAATGTGTGCCACACAAGCCATCCTTGCATTTCTTTGCCCGCCAGGTCTGTTCAAGTCAGCCGCAAGAGCTGGCACATGCTGGTCAACACGTGTCTCCACATGTTCCTGACGTGTGCCGTGTTTGTGGGCGGCGTTACTCAGACGCTCCAACCAAGCGTCTGTCAGAAGGTGCGTATCGCCTCTGAAGGCCTCAAAGTATCCGATCCGTTACATTTGTATAACTTTCAGCTGCTTTGCGGAGAGTCTTAAACCAAGCGCATCCTCTGGGAATTACGAGTTTAAGGACCGTGCTCCGCAGATCCACTCCTGCAAAGCCATATCTACAATTTAACATCTGATCAGAGTCTTAAGATTATTCTGTCATCAAACGGACTGTCTAACATCAAGTGATGGTCCAGGAGAGTAGACCCTCATTCATCTTACTGGTGAACACTCATTTAACAGTAATCATGTTAACTAGCTAGCTGGTACTATCCTGTTACTCTGTTGCTACATCCACTGTACAATACACACATTGTGCAATATCATAAATTTCTCTTTATTTACTACAGAATTCCATGCAGGACGATCTTTTCACTGTTTCTGTTTATTGTTGGTTGTTATATATAATATGGTTACTGTTTATTACTGGCTAAATATTTTTTTACTGTGTAAATGTATTGGTTGTGCTACTGTAAACCTGCAGTTTAATGAATCCATCCATCCCTTCCTTCCTTCCAGGTTGGCATTGTCTTGCACTTCTCCTCCCTGGCCACAGTTCTCTGGCTGGGAATCACTGCACGCAACATTTACAAGCAGCTGACCCGCAAGGCCAAGAGCTCAGAGGAGTTGAAGGAGCCCCCCGCCCCAGCCAAGCCCATGTTGAGGTAGGAGCACTCCCCAAACTCTGGTGGGGGGGATTATACCAAAAATATACCACATCTTCTTTTGATTAGTGTCTTAGAGCAGTGATTCTCCAAATTCTACACTGTGAATCACCTCAGAAAATCATATGCTCTCCATTTACCATTCTGACCGTCGTTTAAATAAGGTGATAACTCAGTATACCACTAGAGGGAGCTTGTGCACCACCTGTGGTGTGCAGACCAGAGTTAAAGAATCCCAGATTTAGAGCTTGTTTCAGGAATCCCTGAAAGGCAACTATTTGCTAAATATCACGGCAATGATGGCTGTTCACACCATGATAACTAAAACTGCTATCAGGTATGTGGTAATAATGATAATGATGGTGTTTGAGTAGTAAACGCCAGTCCTTTGAAACACTTTTTTCTGCAGTTAAACTGTGGACCACAGGAGGTCACTATAGTACGAAGAATCCCACCTTTGACTGTGCCCAATGTTTTTTTTTTGCATCCACTGTAGACAGGAATATTTCAGTTTTTGCTTTTCGATTTGAAAATACTCCTTCGTAGCAATAACCAGGGGCTAAAAAAGAAACAAGACTGCTGAATTTGACTGAAGCGTTTCATTTTCGCGCTACGCAACACCTCGCTTATTAGGGCTAATCTGGGCATCAGTGTGGCTGTGACCAGCTGTTCTGGTGATGAGCTGACACTGTGGGAAGCTTCCCTGTGATTGGCTCTGAACACAGAAGCGATGGGCGTGTCTCTCCCCACAGGTTCTACCTGATTGGCTGGGGCGTACCGATCGCCATCTGTGGTATTACTGCGTCAGCTGACATGAAGAACTACGGCCAGCAGGGCGGCGCAGCTTAGTAAGTAATGGGAGCTTCTGTCCATTGTCCCGTTCCGCCTCTCCAGTGGCAGCAGGGCAGAAGACAGGCCTTATAGCACAGTGACATGGTGAAATGCCCATGCATCCCTATTACCCAGTCTGCCACCTAGCTGCCAGTACTTGACAGTAAGTTTTATGTGATCCTCCATCTTCCAGCTGTTGGATGGCGAGGGAACCCAGCATAGCTGCTTTCTACGGTCCGGCCTCTGTCGCCGCCCTGGTGGCCTGCCTGTACTTCCTCGGCACCCTGGTGCAAATGAAACGCCATCCAGGCCGACGCTATGAGCTGAAGGAGCCGGCTGAGGAGCGACAGCACATGACGGGAGATGCCGCCCAAGACGTCCCACCCGCGGCTTTGGAGAACGAGCATTCGTTCAGGGCCCAGCTGCTCGGCACCTCGCTGACCCTGCTGCTGTCCGCGCTGCTCTGGGCAGCTGCCGCGATGGCCGTGTCCCAGGACAATCCGCTAGACCTGTGCTTCTCTTGCCTATTTGGGGTTCTGGCTCTGGCCACAGGGACCTTACTGCTTGTGCACCATTGTGGATACAGGGAGGACGTGAGGCGCCTTTGGGCTTCGGCCTGCTGTAGCAGGAGGCGAGACAACTCAGGCCAGGTCATGTTCAGCGCGGCTAATGGATGTCCGACCCTGGTGCCAGACGGCAACACGGGGTCCTTCTCAACCAATGGGAGCCCGTCCAGTACAAGTAACTCCTCCCAGGAGTGCAAACTGACCAATCTGCAGGTGGAGGCGGTTCAGCGTAAGCCCCTCCCCCTCCCCAGTAATGGAACCGCCGCCCTTCTGGACTGCAGCTTGACGGAGCACTCTCTGGACAACGAGATCCAAATGCATGTAGCTCCGATCGAGTCATCATCCCGGGTCGACTGGCGCTCGGGGAGGTTGCAGAAGAGTCGGACGCGGGCCCAGCGACTTGGCCGGCTGGAGGCACTGCGGGGGTACGCTTATGACGTACCCACCAGCGTAGACGGCAGTGAACAGAGGGGGCCATGCGGGAGCCGACAGGCTAATGGGGGCCGCTTTCAGAGTCGGAGCCAGGGACATCTGGACAGCAGTGACACCAGCACCCCGCTGCCCCGCCGATGCCGCAGCATGGACAGGCAGTGGAGCAGCTTAGGGGCTAGCATTGGGGCTAGCGTGCCTAGTGTGGGGACTAGCTTAGCATCTAGCATTGGGGCTAGCGTGCCTAGCGTGGGGACTAGCTTAGCATCTAGCATTGGGGCTAGCGTGCCTAGCGTGGGAACTAGTTTAGTGTCTAGCATTGGAGAGAGTGGACCTAGTGTAGCGGTTAGCATGCCAGCTAGAGAGGCTAGCAGCCCGAGCAGAGCTAGTAGCTGTCCTGGGGAAGGAGAGGCAGCTGGAGGCTTTGAGTCAAACACAAACATGGATGACATAAAACAGAGCATGGAGGAGGGTGGGCAGTCTGGGTCACATGGGCCCAACCTGGCCAATCAGAATGGATCAGTTATGGACAACGGGAGGGATGGGCTCTTAATTATGGCAGATAACCCTACCAATATGAAAATCGTCTCATGGAAACATGAAACCACTGTGTAGCAATTGTTCTTTCCTAAAATCGTGCCTCATTCTCTGCAGTGTGAGGTTTCCATTAATTCAAATAGAACATCCTGTGTCTGACAGATGTTAGCAAAAACGCGAATTGACTTTGATTAAATTTAAATGCAGAAGAACACCATGTTCATTATGAGGTAAAGGTGTCATATTACAGGCCTGCCTTTCTATTATGTGATTGCTCTCGTACTTTTCTATACAGAATTATTGCATGGCTCATATCTGTATGAAGGTATATCATGTCAAATCTCGGCTCTGTCTGTGTGAAGGTATGAGCTGCTTTTCTTAATTTTATAATAAACTGAGTATCTTCTTTGCACAAGCTCTTGATATACCTATGCCCGACAGAACAGCGTCTGCCTTGATGATCTTCAGTGACATTCAGATGATTAGTTGAAAGTGACTAATTTCTGTTTATAAACCAGCATGTTTTACAGAGAGCTGCTGCCCATTTGAAAAGTTAAACTGGGTGGAATGTGGATTTTTCTAGATGCTGGAGCCAGAGCCGTTTCTTTATAAGGGCCGGGGGGGCTGCCTGTGATGGACGGCTCTGACGGAAACGTGTGGCGGCCATCGGGAAGCGTCACAACCTAACGGCGTGAGTCGCTGTCAGGGTCGGAAAGGCGAGACGTGTGGTGGCCGATAAGGCAGGTTACTTATAAGTGTCCCTGGACGCTGTCACATGCATATGACAAGAGGTCAGGCTTATGGGACAGAATCAGAGGACCAGCGTCCCTCGTTGTGCAACTGAAATACTCTGTGACCCTCAGAAGGCCCAGCAAAGCTCACAGATACCTGCACTGCTTCCTGTCTGCTTCTGTAGATAACAGGGCACCTTCATTAAACACCTACCCCACTTAGCCATTATTTATGTGGCTCTTTTCGTATTTGAAATTCAGTTCAAAGTGCTTCACGTAAAGATTAAAGGTAGGGAACAAAGGCAGAGAAGCGCTACAAAATACAGCCGTGGGCAAAAGTTTTGGGAATGACACGAATATTAATTGTCACAAAGTCTGCTGCCTCAGTTTTTATGATGGCAATTTGCATAAACTCCAGAATGTTATGAAGAGTGATCAGATGAATTGCAATTAATTGCAAAGTCCCTCTTTGCTATGAAAATGAACTTAATCCCAAAAAATCAATTTCCACTGCATTTCAGCCCTGCCACAAAAGAACCTGCTGACATCATTTCAGTGATTCTCTCGTTAACACAGGTGAGAGTGTTGATGAGAACAAGGCTGGAGATCACTCTGTCATGCTGACTGAGTTAGAATAGCAGACTGGATGCTTTAAATGGAGGATGGTGCTTGAAATCATTGTTGTTCTTCTGTTACCTATGATTACCTGCAAGGAACCACATGCAGTCATCATTGCCTTGCACAAAAAGGGCTTCACATGCAAGGATATTGCTGCCAGTGAGATTGTACCTAAATCAACCATTTATTGGATTATCAAGAACTTCAAGGAGAGAGGTTCAGTTGTTGTGAAGAAGGCTTCAGGGCGCCCAAGAAAGTCTAGCAAGTGCCAGGACCGTCTCCTAAAGTTGATTCAGCTGCAGGATTGGGGCACCACCAGTGCAGAGCTCACTCAGGACTGACAGCAGGCAGGTGTATCTGCACGCACAGTGAGGTGAAGACTTGGAGGATGGACTTGTTTCAAGAAGGGCAGCAAAGAAGCCGCTTCTCTCCAAGAAAACACATCAGGGACAGATTGATATTCTGCAAAAGGTACAGAGATTGGACTGCTGAGGACTGGGGTGACGTCATTTTTTCTGATGAATCTGGAAACAGCACATCAACTGTAGTGGTCTCCGTTGCATCGCTCCATGTCTCATTGTCTTTGGAATTAAGGGGAAGACGGCATTCATCCAGGCCATCAAGGATAAACACAGTCTTCAAGTCCTTCCATGAGATCTTTTCCATTTCTTTTATTTCTGAAAAGTGCTGATGAATGAGCTGAATGAGGCTACACTGCTTCTCCTTCATCCGATTTAGGTCATGGAAAGGAAGAGTAAATACAAAATCCATATCTTGGTTTTCTCTTTCTTCTGCCAAGTCAAGAACAAACTTTTGCACAGACACCGTTTTTCCAATACCTGCGATTCCTCTAGTCAGAACGGTTCTGATACGTTTCCTCTGGCTGGGGAGAGGATTGAAGATGTCACTGCATTTGATGGTGTGTTCTGGGGAAGCATTTTTCCAGAATTCTGTCTCAATCTGCCGGATCTCATGTTCATTATTTACTCCCCCATTCCCAGCTTCTGTGATGTACAGCTCCGTGTAGATATCATTGAGGAAGGTGGTCTTCCCTTGTTTTGGTAATGCCTCAAATATACATTGAAACTTCTCCTTAAGTCTGCTTTTAATTTGTCTTTGGACGTCTCTGTACTTCTTGCCTGAAATGTAAGGGCCAAAGTTATTATATAATTCCTCAAAATGTATTGTTGTATAAACACACTCTTACATATACAAATACATATACACACTCTGGATGTCACATTTAGATTGGAGCTCATCGTCCATCTGCACACTGACACTGTGTAGGTACAAAGAAGACAGCGTGTTAATGGGTTTTTGACTTCCTCAAAGACTGACTCAAGAAGGGTCCTCTTTCATAAACTTAATATGCTAATCAAAGAATAAATATCTGGATTCATATATTTGTCCCCAGTGTGTGCCTATACATAAGTATGGAACAGAAATATTGAACACAAGATGGGCCAGTAGTTCTGACACCCAGCTCCCTTCCTGCCTCGTTACCTTAAAAAAGAGAGAATTTCAAAATAATTTCCTTATCATGCTATATAATACAATGTTCTTTTTGAAGAGCTTAAAAAAATGTTACATTTTTGGAGAAACACAAAAAGGTTAAAAATATGATTACTCCACTGCAGGTCTTTATTAAGTCTCAAAGCAAGGTCATTCAGGTTCATCTTCCCCAGGATTTCAAGCATGACTTTGAGAGCACTGTCTTCACTGTAGAAACTTCTCATTATGGAGGCGATGTCCGGTTCATCTTTAATGTCCTCCAGCTGACCCCAAGGAATGGGCTTTAACTCTTTATATACTAGGGTACTCAGTCTGAATTTAAACTACTTCAGCTGGGCACCACTGAGCTCCTTCAGGTAATCCAGCAAGAGGCCAGCGAGTGAGACCTGAGTTTGAAGAGGACAAGAGGTGAGTTCATGAGACCTCAGAAGCCTGAACACGGTCACTCAGACACACACACGGACCTTTCCGGTAACATAAGTCAATTTTCTTCCTCAGATTCTTATGTGTCTGCTGGAGGTGCGTACTGTATATCATTACTATAAGAATCACTTGTGTGTTTATCAAATATCATTATTCAACCATTATTTAACCAGGTTGGTCCTACTGAGATTTAAAATCTCTTTTTACAAGAGACACATGTCCAGGATAGGCAGCAATAAAAAATACTGCAGTTTAGGAACCAATACAGCAGATTAAAAACAGGGTTAACACCATAAAATAACTCATGCTAAAAATAGCATGTTAAGACAATAACGAATATATACCATTCAATTTTGTTACTATACACTTTTTACATTTACATTTGGTGTAGCAGCTAGGAGGCGCACTCCGGAAACCGAGTTTTTCTGTGCTGTTTTCAGTAACTTCTGGGTAAAAATAGTTCACGTGTGGACTTCAGCTTTTCTGCTGTGCAGAGTCTGGTATTTGCATCCCTATCAGCATGTATTACATGCCAGCCCGTTATCGCCATACCTCTTCATGGGAACGGTGCGCCATGGCTTAGACGATCAGGGCTCCGGGATCATATCTGCAAAGAAAGCAGCTTCCGGGTATCGCAGTCCGCCAATAATATACCCGACACGGGGCTCACTATTGTGGAAAAATTAACATCTCTGTAATTAAACCAAATAATTAAAGCGTTATTTACTACGCAAGTACGGAGGGCAATAATCCATAGGAATGACAGACTGCTCTTATAATTAATCAATTAGTACAAACAGGAAATTTGTGAAAACTTTTTCGCAAGTTATCAAATCAAAGCCTAATAATATTAATACATTTCTAAAGCACTTCTCGTTAGTTACATGATCTCAGAGCTGTACACTTACATAGGTTATGTATTAACAGTTAATATTTCTCTGCAATGAATACTTACTGCTTTCAATACTGAAGTTTTAGTCTCTCTTTTCCTTATTCTATACTGCGCAACTCATATTTCCGTATAGCCTTTTATTTTATATTCACATCCACACGACATGAACATAACTTTCCGGAAATCTGCCTCATCTCAGTTTCGATTTCATAAATGAATCCAGCCCGGAAATGTACAGTTTAATGGACTCCAGTAAAAGTAGGATACTGTCTTAAGGCAGACGGAACTGCAATGTTAGTTTCACAATTCAGACATCCGGATGCTTTGGATCAGTACCTCACAAACGATAAGTAAAATAGTTTTTAAAATCACATGTTTTCAATGTGGATTAGAAGAAGAAGCTACACCCGCTGAATGAGATAGAATGGCGCTTGTTCGCTAGTTATATTTTTTTCTCCAAATGACGACTGAACATCTGCTTCCGTGTCGCGGAGACGTAACGATCCGACAGTAAAGGGCAAATGCTTTGCTTTTATTAGCTATTGATTTTCCTGTAGGCATATTTTGTAAAATTAAAACAAAAGCTGGGATGGACTGGCTATCTGGCATACTGGGTATTTACCACCCCCCCACCCCAGGTCAGCAAAATGTGCCCAAAATTCAGGGCAGAATTTTAATCCCAGCCCAGCCGTTAATAAAAGAACAATTCAACAGCTCTTGAATGACTTAACCTTTTCCTTGAAAATAAGTTGCTGATTGATTGTTGAAACTGAGCAAACTACAGCTCTGTGTTTTACAACTGATACTACAAATGAATTCTGGAACATTTTTATTTGATTCAAAATCCAGCACCTATTCAGCTATGCTCAAATCAGATTGTAGAACTACTCATGTGCTGTAAGAGACATACATCTACATTAATTTAGCTACTTTAACTTGATGTTAATTTCGTAGATTTTGTATTTAAAATTTGGTAGCTTTTGAGAAAAAAATACTTTGCTCTGAAACAGGCTGTGCAACAAGAAGTGTCTTTCAGAGAACATACTACAACTCCTAACTTCCCACTTTTGCCTGCAGCTTGATTTTGGTGATTTTTTTAAATTAAAATTCAGTAGCTTTGGAATAAATCTGTTATGGCGAATTTAGGCAAGCAGGCAATGGGAGCCGTAAATGTGGGCAAACAGGGTTTATTTACCGGACAAAGATTTCACTCACAGGCAACGTTAATGACTAACCGAGGGAAACGTACTCGAACGCGGACTAAAACACACAGGACAAGCCGGAAATAACAAACAGCTGGGAACAATCAGGGTTTCACACGAGGTAACGAGGGGACGTGGCACACGGAAGGACCGTACAAGCAGGTCATGACAAAATCAATATTGCTCTGCCATAGGTTGCAGAACAACAAGTCCCCTGTGTGGCACAGTACAGCCCATAGTTTGGTTAATATAATCACTCCACAATATAGGGACCCTGTAACAGAATGCTTTACCGCCCGCTCTCACTTTATTTATATGTGGAACGACAAGGAAACTTACATTCTATGATCTGAGTGGACAATGCGACCTGTAAACTTGAAGTAATTCTGTCAGGTAGGCAGGAGGTAGACCTTTAAGTGCCTTATATGTAAATAGGAGAACTTTGAAGCCAGCTCTAAACGTAAAGGAACTAAGAACAGGGGGTATGTGTTCAAGCTTCCTCCATCTGGTGACAATTCGAGCTGCTGCATTTTGAATACACAGCAAGGTATTTAATATGCAGTGTGTCCTCCCAGATAACTGAGCATTACAGTAGTCTAACCTACTTTATTCAAAGGCATGTATCAATTTCTCTGTGTCCTGAATAGTAAGAAATCCGTCAGTTTGGCGATGTGATGTAGCTGTAGGGAGCACGTCTTCAATACTGCATCCACATGTGAGTTGAATAAGAGGCTTGTACAGTATCTAAGATGACTGTTACGCTCCAGTCAAGGGTTGGAGCCTAACAAAGTGAAAGGGAAGCAGGGATTGGGAACGACAAGACAACCAGGAGTAGGAGAAGGGAACACGGGACACAAAGGGAGTCTTTTTATGTTTTTTTAAATAGTTTTTCACAGACACTTCACAAACACTCGGTGTAACGAACGTCATGAGTGACAAAGGCCAAAGAAACAAACAAAAACACACCTACCGAAAACAACCACAAGCTAAGTTAATCCTAAGTGAGCACAACAAAAAGGTGAAACGAAACAACAATGCCTAGGCGTATCTCCCTAACCAAACAAACAGTAATCCCCACGTTGACGAAGAAACAAAAAGGCAGACACTCCTTACACACACCTAGTGGAACACACAAACACACAGCCGAAGCGACAGTATCCAGAGGGGAGATCAGAGAGGCGAAGTCGGAGTACGAGCGAAAGTTCAAAACCAAGCAGACAGTCAAAACCGGGGCGAAGGTACAATAAGGGACGAGGCGAAAATCGGAAACCAAGAACAAAAGCAGTCAAACACGAGCAAACAAACCAAAGGCAAAGCGAATTCAGAGCGAGCTAGCAGGCGAGAAGCAAACAGCGGCCAAACGAAGTCACGAAGCTGCCGCCTCTTCCGCAGCAACCAGAAAGGTGAATGTTGCTGCCTGCCCCGACAGCTCTTCACCCTCATCCGGTATTGACGCTGCTTTCGAACCTTTCGTATTTACTGGTTCTGTTTCGCTTAGTGAGACTGACGCCCGACACCCTGTGACTATCCTGTGGGATACGGGTGCTGTCCAATCGTTTCTGATGGAAGGCATCGTCCCTCTTGATAATGCGTCGTATTGTGGTACCAGTGTCCTGGTACAAGGCATTGATTTGTGCGTGACGGCTGTTCCTTTACACAATGTATTTCTAAATACCCCTGACTTCTCTGGTTTTGTACGTGTTGCGGTCCAGACTCGCCTGCCCATTCCGGGTATCTCATTTATTTTGGGGAATGACATCGCGGTGGAAGGAGTTGTTCCTCTGCCCGAAGTCGTTCCCGAACCAATGCTTGGTACAGATGATGTTGCTGTGGAACATCGCAAGGTGTTTTCGGCCTGTGTGCTCACACGTGCCCAACGACGTAAACTCGCAGACATTGACCTGGCTGATACTTTTATGTCTGACTCTCCTCCGGCTGCTACTTCATAGTGTGATTTTGACACCTCTGTTATGTGGGTGTCATGTTATGTGACACCCACATAACATGACACCTAGGTTACGGGCAGAGCTGCTGAGGGAAAAGTTCAGCCCTTTGGAGTGGAGTGCGGAGATTATAAAATTCCTATCTGCAGACTTGCCTCTAAACAACAGAACCTCAGTTTTCTGAGTGTTTAGTGAGAAAAAAATTTCAGCCATCCAGGTCTTGACTTCATTAAAACAACTAGCTAAGGTGACAATAGATGTGGTGTTGATGACGTAACCGAAATGTATATTTGGGTGTCGTCGGCATAGGAGTGATAGTTAACATTATATTCTCTCATTGTGTTTGCTAATGGCAGCATGTACAGTAGAAAGAAAACAATAAAGGACCAAGCATTGATCCCTGTGGTACTCCATATTTGACCGGCGACATTGATGACGGATGTCATGACCTGCGCGTCCAGTCCTCGTGTGTGCCACGCCCTCCTCGTTAACCCCGTGTCAATTCCCATCGTATCAGCTGTCTTGCGTTTATTCTGAGGTCATGTCCTGTATTTAGTCCGCGTTCAAGTCTGTTTCCCCAGGTCTGTCATTGACGTGGATTTGCCGTGTGTTCCCCTGTCATCTTGTCAATCCGAAATAAACCCCGTTTTGGATATCATTCAGGGCTCTCTCGCCTGCTTCCCCACTCGACGCATGCAGACGTAACAACGGAGAACAAGTATCTTGACACTTGAACATTTGAATCATTTTGTGGACAAAATGCAATTTATGAATTAAAGAAAGTCATTTTGTGGACAAAATGTATTCTGTGAATTAAAGGAAGTCATTTTGTGGACCAAATGCATTTTGTGAATGATACGCAGTCATTTCATGGACAAAATTGATTCTGCAGAATCACAAAATGCATTTTATCTTTTGCTGAGTCATGAAAGGCACCACAAAATGCATTTTGTCTTTTAGGAGGTAGTACCTTGCAATGACCAGAAGGTGAATCGCTGGATTTGATTTTGCAGACGCATGTAATAGGTTTAACTATTTTTCATTAGTTTTGCATTTGGCTACGGTCAGTGTTACTACTGGTAGCATGAGGCAATACCTGGACCCTACAGAAATTGCACAGGTCGTCCAACCCCTCCAGGATTGCGCATCAATACGTGTCATTGCCAGAAGGTTTACTGTATCTTCCAGCACAGTCTCAAGGGCATGGAGGAGATTCCAGGAGACAGGTAGTCACAGGCACCGTGGAGCTCGATTGGCTTTTGCCATAGAATACAAGAATTTGCAGGTCTGCCACTGGTGCCCTGTGCTTTTCACAGATGAGAAAAGCTGAACATTGGAATGCTTCCAGTTTGACATCTGTAAGATTTCTTGCTTTCAAGTATGTCTGGATTTCCTTCTCTGGAGAATGGTCATTCATTTCATTCAGACAGTGGAACAGATTGATAATTCTATCTGGAGAAAAGTCCATCCTGATCAAGCCCTCGATGCACTCCACTGTGTCCTCAGCAGTACAGTTTGCATTTTTTGTTGATGTCAGCAGACCTTGCAGCAAAGTCTGATTAGATTCTAATGAGAAGCCCAGAAGGAACTGGAGAAAAAGGTCCAGATGCCCGTTTTTATTCCACAAGGCCTGGTATATGGCACTTTTGTGTAAAACAAGCAATGAGTCTCTCTTTGGTTTGGAGACATGGTATAGATACTTGCAATATTCAAAAATATTTAATTTTTTCTCCTTAATTGCATTCGCATCATCATTTATCATGCAATCTGATCTTTCTGATTCTCCCATGTTTCCTGAGTTGACATCATGATCATTTGACACTTCACATTGTTCTTGTTTTTCTACCCCATAGTCTGGGTCCAATGCATTTTTGTTCTCGTGTGTGAATTTGTAAACGGCATACAGAGCAGCAAGATACCGCTGAAAGCTCAGGTGTATTTAGCTATATGCTTTTTCTTGATACAACCCATACTCCTCTATAAAGATTTCTGTGAATAGAGGGGAATACACAGATGCTTCATTGGTAGCGATGCCACAAGATCTCAGATCCTCTTCATAAAATATCAGGTTTTCCAGAGCATGAAGAGAGAGCTCACCAAGTTTGCGAATAGTATTTTATCTTCCTTTGACAATGTTTTTGAATTCGTCAAATACTTCCCTTGATATTTCTGGTTTTAAGGCTTATTTGAATGAGCAGTAAGTGAGTGTACATTTGGGTCAGAGTTTGGGGTATTTCTTTGCCGAGTTCGTTACCTATTAGTCGCTCAAGGACAGTTTCTGAAATCCAGCAGAAGATTGTAATACGGCACATGATGAACAAGGTCCTTGATGATTTAATGTGTGCAGCAATTTTGTTGCCCAGGGCCTTGTTGCTGAACCTTTTCATGAAGTATTCTTCCTTCTGTGCATCATTAAATGCGTCAGCTATTGGATGCAGTCAGGAGGGATCTGATTGGCTGCTGCCTGCTGGGAGCTTATCCAGAGGAGAGCGGAGGGAAGGAGAACCAAACGTACACCAAGTGGTACCTGCCCCATACCTTGTGTTTTTAAGAGTTTGGTCAGCTACACTAGAGTGTATATGCGTGCACATGCTAACCATGGTTGCCTCCACTCCATACCTCAACACCTCTCAGGAACAGCATTTCACATCAGTAGCGTCACACTCTTATTATACAGCACAAAACAGCAGAGCTGAATAGCAGCAACAGCATTAGAGCAGCAGCAAAGCAGACTCAGAGCAGCAACAGAACCAGCTTTTTGTAGGTCAAGCCCCTCCTACTTGACAAGGAAGAGGCGGAGCAAAGTCCCAAGCCCCCCCAGCTGGATCCGGTGACCTGGCAAAAGAACAGAGGCACATGTACACACACAAAAATACCAACGTGTGCATTCATGTAACACCTGTGATAAGGTTGATTAACAGCACATCAACTGTAGTGGTATCCGTTGCATCACACCAGGTCTCATTGTCTTTGAAATTAAGGGTAAGATGTCATTCATCCAGGCCATCAAGGATAAACACAATTTTCCCCCATGTGATCTTTTCTGTTTCCTTCATTTCTAGAAAGTGCTGATGAATAAGCTGAATGAGGCTATACTGCTTCTTTTTCAACCGATTTAGGTCACGGAAAGGAAGAATTAAATGCAAAATCAATATCTTGGTTTTCACTGCATTTGGTGGTGTGTTCTGGGGAAGCATTTTTCCAGGATTCAGAATTCTAGAATCTCATGTTCATTATTTACTCTGCCATTCCCAGCTTCTGTGATGTACAGCTCCGTGTAGATATCATTGAGGAAGATGGTCTTCCCTTGTTTTGGCAATGCCTCAAATATACATTGAAACTTCTCATGAAAGTCTCATTTTAATATGTCTTTGGACATCTTTGTACTTCTCATCTGAAATAACAGGAAATGTAAGGATCAAAATGATATTATTCTACAAAATGGATTTAAACGATGCATAAAAATACGTATACATACCCACACTTTTCATGCCACATTAGTTAAAGTAAAGTGTGATAATGAGATTTTATTGGTTTTTATTGACTTGTAGAGTATTGAGCACACCACAGACCAGTAGTTCCTTCATCCAGCTCTCTTCCTGCCTCGTTACCTAAAACAAGGGAGAATTTAAAAATGATTTCCATTCTCTATTATCAGTATCAAACAAGCTGTTCATTGGGCCTTTTTCAAGAACTTTTAAAATGTTAGATTTTAAAAGATAATATCATTACTCCTCTGCAGGTCTTTATTCAGTCTCTGAGCAAGGTCATTCAGGTTCATCTTCCCCAGGATTTCAAGCATGAGTCTTCACAGTAGGAATTTATCATTATGCCGGCGATGTCATTCTATTCAAGTCCTTCAAGTCCTTTTAACTCTTTATGCCCCATGTGACTCGGGTTCCATTTAAACTCCTTCAGCTGGGCATCACTGAGCTCCTTCAGGTAATCCAGCAAGAGGCCAGCGAGTGAGACCTGAGTGTGAAGAGGATAAGAGGCAAGTTCATGAGACCTCAGAAGCCTGAACACGGTCACTCAGACACACACACTGACCTTTCCGGTAACAGAAGTCAATTTTCCTGCTCGGATTCTTATGTGTCTGCTGGAGACGCCTGCTGTGTGTATTTTATTACTATAAGAATCACTTGTGTGTTTATCAAATATCATTATTCAACCATATTTAACCAGGTTGGTCCTACTGAGATTTAAAATCTCTTTTTGCAAGAGACACATGTCCAGGGTAGGCAGCAATAAAAAATACTGCAGTTTAAGAACCAATACAGCACATTAAAAACAGGGCTAACACCATAAAATAACTCATGCTAAAAATAGCACGTTAAGACAATAACGAATATATATCATTCTATTTTGTTACTATACACCTTTTACATTTACGTTTGGTGTAGTAGAAAAGCGCACTCCGGAAAGCGGGTTTTTCTGTGCTATTTTTAGTAACTTCTGGGTAAAAATAGTTCATGTGTTGAACTTCAGCTTTTCTGCTGTGCAGAGTCTGGTATTTGCAGCCCTAACAGCATGTATTACATGTTAGCCCGTTATCGCCATACCTCTTCATGGGAACGGTGCGCCATGGTTTAGACAATCAGGGCTCCGGGATTATATCTGCATTCTGCAAAGAAAGCAGCTTCCGGGTATCGCAGTCCGCCAATGAAATACCCGACACGGGGCTCACTATTGTGGAAAAATAACATCTCTTTAATTAAACCAAATAATTAACGTGTTATTTACTACCAAGTACGGAGGACCATTTAAATACGTCAAGTTAGCAAATCAAAGCCTAATAATATTAATACAGTTCTAAAGCACTTCGGGTTAGTTACATGGTCTCAGAGCTGTATACTTACATAGGCTATGTATTAATAGTTAAGTATTCTCTGCAATTAATACTTACTGCTCTCAATACTTAAGTTTTCTTCTCTCTTTTCCTTATTCTATGCTGCGCAACTCGTATTTCCGTATAGCCTTTTATTTTATATTCACATCCACACGACGTACATGAACATAACTTTCCGGAAATCTGCCTCATCTCAGTTTCGATTTCGTAAATGAATCCAGCCCGGAAACGTACAGTTTAATGAACTCCAGTAAAAGTAGGAAACTAACTTAAGCACTTTGGAAGACGGAACTGCAAAGTTAGTTTCACAATTCAGACATTCGGATGCTTTGGATCAGTTCCCCACAAACGATAAGTATAATAATTTTTAAAATCATGTTTTTAATGTGGATTAGAAGAAGAAGCTACACCAGCTGAATGAGATAGAATGGCGCTTGTTCGCTAGTTATATTTTTTTCTCCAAATGCTTACTGAATATCTGCTTCCGTGTCGCGGAGACGTAACGATCCGACAGTAAAGGGCAAATGCTTTGCTTTTATTAGCTATTGATTTTCCTGTAGGCATATTTTGTAAAATTAAAACAAAAGCTGGGATGGACTGGCTATCTGGCATACTATTTACCCCCCCCACCCCAGGTCAACAAAATGTGCCCAAAATTCAGGGCAGAATTTTAATCCCAGCCCAGCCATTAATAAAAGAACAATTCAACAGCTCGATCTTGAATGACTTAACTTTTTCTTTGAAAATAAGTTGCTGATTGGAGTTGAAACTTAGCAAACTACAGCTCTATGTTTTACAACTGATACTACAAATGAATTCTGGAACATTTTTATTTGATTCAAAATCCAGCACCTATTCAGCTATGCTCAAATCAGATTGTAGAACTACTCATGTGCCCTAAGAGACATATCTACATTAATTAATTTAGCTACTTTAACTTGAGCTGAATTACATAGAATTTTTATTTAAAAATTTGGTAGCTTTTGAAAAAAATACTTTGCTCTGAAACAGGCTGTATAACAACAAGTGTCCTTCAGAGGACATACTACAACTCTTAACTTCCCAGTTTTAACTGCAGCTTGATTGTGGTGTTTCTTTTTAATTCAAATTTCAGTAGCTTTGGAATAAATCGAAATTGCTCTTCCACCCATTGCAGAAATTGAGTGGCACACTACAGCCCGTAGTTTGGTAAATGTAACCTACTGGTGAGTTTTGATTGGAAAGAAATTAAAGGAGGAGGTCCTGACACGCGGGCAAGGCATGGACCAGGCAGGAACAGAAGGTGGACAACCCACTGACTGTCATGACGCGTAAGCGCCCGGAGCGCAGACAAATAGGCAGGAAGCCAGGGATCAGAAACACAGGGTTTAATCTTAGCACTAAGCACGCAACAACACTACATCAATGACCGGACTGGGGATACTAACACAGACGTGGACTAAATACACAAGACAAGTCAAAATCAAATAGGAAACAGGTGATAACAATTAGGAAATAACATGAGGTAACGAGGTGGGCGTGGCACACACGAGGATCGTACGGAGCAGGGTGTGATACTGACGGCTCACAGAGATTTATTAAAACTGAACACACTAAGAACACTACAAAATAAATGGACTGCGAGGGGTCAAAACTAAAAAGGGGAAAGACAAAGACTAATTTCAAAAGGTCGGTGCAACAAGGAGCAGGCAGGCAAACAACAAAACACAGGGTAACCAGTAAGACATGAAATACAGTACTTCTTATGAGCAACACAAGAAATCCTACACTGACAAACATCAATGACTCCTGTGGCCTGTACTACCACAGTTTAAATGGACTCGTTCACTTACATTTTGCCCAAACTACCTTAAAACCGTAGTCCAATAGCGCACCAAAACAAGGGGGAACTCGGAACAGCTGGGAGAGGAGTGACTGAGACCAGAGCAATAGCGCATCAAAATAAGGGGGAACTAGGAACAGCTGAGAGAGGAGTGACTGAGACCAGAGCAATAGCGCATCAAAACAAGGGGGAACTAGGAACAGCTGGGAGAGGAGTGACTGAGACCAGAGCAACCGGTAAAACTAGACCAACTGGACAACAGGGTGCAGAGCCTCAGGGAAGCCCTATCGGTCAGAATCCCTGGAGGGGCGTGGCTGAGATGGCGATGGGGATTCTCCAGCGCGATCCATGACAGTACCCCCCTCTGACGACCGCCTCCAGGCGGACGAGACAAGAGGTCCGGATGACAATGATGAAGCTCTGAAATCAAAGACAGATCAAGAATAAAACTGACTGGCACCCAGGAGCATTCCTCAGGACCATAACCCTCCCAGTCCACCAGGTACTGGAGGCCCCATCCTCTGCAACGGGCATCCAACAGCCGCTGGACAGCGAACACTTCGCCCCCATCCACCAGCCGGGGCAGGGGTGGAGGTAGAGCAGGAGAAGCCAGAGGACTGGTCGTATGGGTTGAAGCAGGGACACATGAAAGGCAGGATGGACTCGGCGCATAGTAGCAGGCAGCTTAAGATGTACCACTGAGGGGTTAATGATTAGTTGAAAGTGACTAATTTCTGTTAATAAATCAGCATGTTTTACAGAGAGCTGCCGCCCATTTGAAAAGTTAAACTGGGTGGAATGTGGATTTTTCTAGATGCTGGAGCCAGAGCCGTTTCTTTATAAGGGCCGGGGGGGGCTGCCTGTGATGGACGGCTCTGACGGAAACGTGTGGCGGCCATTGGGAAGCGTCACAACCTAACGGCGTGAGTCGCTGTCAGGGTCGGAAAGGCGAGACGTGTGGTGGCCGATAAGGCAGGTCACTTAAATGTGTCCCTGGACGCTGTCACATGCATATGACAAGAGGTCAGGCTTATGGGACAGAATCAGAGGAGCAGCGTCCCTCGTTGTGCAACTGAAATACTCTGTGACCCTCAGAAGGCCCAGCAAAGCTCACAGATACCTGCACTGCTTCCTGTCTGCTTCTGAAGATAACGGGCACCTTCATTACACACCTACCCCACTTATTTACGAAGCTCTTTTCGTATTTGAAATTCAGTTCAAAGTGCTTCACGTAAAGATTAAAGGTAGGGAACAAAGGCAGAGAAGCGCTACAAAATACAGCTGTGGCCGTAGTTTTGAGAATGACACGAATATTAATTGTCACAAAGTCTGCTGCCTCAGTTTTTATAATGGCAATTTGCATAAACTCCAGAATGTTATGAAGAGTGATCAGATGAATTGCAAAATCCCTCTTTGCTATGAAAATTAACTTAATCCCAAAAAACCCATTTCCATTGCATTTCAGCTCTGCCATAAAAGGACCTGCTGACATAATTTCAGTGATTCTCTTGATAACACAGGTGAGAGTGTTGATGAGGACAAGGCTGAAGATCACTCTGTCATGCTGATTGAGTTAGAATAGCAGACTGGATGCTTTAAAAGGACGATGGTGCTTGAAATCATTGTTCTTCTTCTGTTACCCATGATTTCCTGCAAGGAAATGCATGCAGTCATCATTGCCTTGCACAAAAAGGGCTTCACAGGCAAGGATATTGCTGCTAGTAAGATTGTACCTAAATCAACCATTTTTCTGATCATCAAGAACTTCAAGGAGAGAGGTTCAGTTGTTGTGAAGAACGCTTCAGGGTGTTCAAGAAAGTCCAGCAAGTGCAAGGACCGTCTCCTAAAGTTGATTCAGCTGCAGGATTGGGGCACCACCAGTACAGAGCTTGCTCAGGAATGGCAACAAGCAGGAGTGAGTGTATCTACACGCACAGTGAGGTGAAGACTTGGAGAACGACCTTGTTTCAAGAAGTGCAGCAAAGAAGCCACTTCTCTCCAAGAAAAAATATCAAGGACAGATTGATATTCTGCAAAAGGTACAGGGATTGGACTGCTGAGGACTGGGGTAAAGTCATTTTCTCTGATGAATCTGGAAAATAGATTGTCCAGAGAAGAAAGGGTGAGCGCTACTATCAGTCCTGTGTCATGCCAACAGTAAAGCATCCTGAGCCCATTCATGTGTGGGGCTGCTTCTCAGCCAATGGAGTGGGCTCACTCACAATTCTGCCAAAGAACACAGCCATGAATAAAGAATGGTACCAAAATATCCTTCCAACCATCCAAGAACAGTTTGGTGATGAACGATGCTTTTTCCAGCATGATGGAGCACCGTGCCATAAGGGAAAAGTGATAACTAAATGGCTCGGGGAATAAAACATCGACATTTTGGTCTATGGCCAGGAAACTCCCCAGAACTGAATCCCATTGAGAACTTGTGGTCAATCCTCAAGAGGTGGGTGAACAAACAAAAATTCACAAATTTTGACAAACTCCAAGCACTGATTATGCAAGAATGGGCTGCCATCAGTTAGGATTTGGTCCAGAAGTTGATTGACAGCATGCCAGAGGGAATTGCAGAGATCTTGAAAAAGAAGGGCCAACACTGCAAATATTGATTCTTTACATAAACTTAATGTAATTGTCAATAAAAGCCTTTGACACTTATGAAATGCTTGTAATTATGCTTCAGTATACTATAGAAACATCTGACAAAAAGACCTATGAACACTGAAGCGGCAAACTTGAAAAAACCAATACTTGTGTCAAGGGCAGCGTGTGGTTCAGTGGGCTAAGCCTCTATTCCTGTAATCAGGTCACTGGTTCAAACCTAGTGACTAGTGGGATCCAATTAGGATGGTTTTAGAATCTCAGTTTACATAATTAAGTGTCTGGGTGTTTCTCAAAATGCATACTTGACCATACTTGTGATGACACATACCTGTTTTATGTCATCTTCCAATGCCGAAGACCAGTTTCAACGCTACTGGTACACTCCATTTGAACTGGGAAGTCAGAATTTCCTATTCTGAAATTACAACTGGAATGCCCTCTGAAGTACTGACTTAGAAAGTCAAAGAAATCTATATAACCTCAATCTCAGAATTCAAGATGTCTATGCCCTTCATCAACAGAAGTGAAAGCTGTAGTTATATACTGTTGATTAGCACTTATGTCTTATTTATGTCTCAATAAATCAGTTGAACATGCAATACTGTCCGACCGCTATCTGTGGACATGTTGCTAAGCTGTTTGTTTACGCGTAATGCGTTGCTATGATCCGGTGTCACTAACAATGGCTACCAATGAACCTGGCTAGAACTGGTATTGCTAAATGCCTTTACAACTTGTTTTACTGGTACGAGGTTAACTCTGGTGTGTCATTCCCAGGGCCGAATTTCAACCTCACTCACACCTGCCTGCTGCCATTCCTGAGCAAGCTCTGCATTGGTGATGCCCCAATCCCGCAGCTGAATCATTCTTGGGCGCCCTGAAGCCTTCTTCACAAGAACTGAACCTCTCTCCTTGAAGTTCTTGATAATCCAATAAATGGTTGATTTAGGTGCAATCTTACTAGCAGCAATATCCTTATGCTGCCCTCATGAAAGCGCGTCTTCGTAACACTAGACAGTTAGTTAACATTAAAGAAATTCATCAGTGATGACAAGGCGTAAGTTTTCTTGTTCTTTTATTGATAGAACCTTTGTACTTTGTAAGCTCATTTATGTTTGTTTATGTGTGTACATACATGGAAGTTGTGGGAATGTATTTTAATTTATTCTTTCCTTTCATTTAGCTCCAGGTGAATTCATGAGAAATAAAGTTCCCCATTTGTTCATGAATCATCAGTCCTTGGGCTTTGCCGATAACTCAACCGGGTAGCTACAAAGGCACGGTGCATTATTATCTTGGAACAGGAACCAGCTTGTAAACAGCTGCTGCACTGACGGCACCATACACTTTTGCAGTACTGTGATGTACTTGGTCCCACTGACCATTCCATCAATGATGTGCAGACGTCCGACGCCACTGGCAGCTATGCAGCCCCAAACCATGACCTTCAAAGGATGCTTCACAGTGAGGTTGAGGCACTCAGGCTTGAACTCCTCTCCAGGAAACCTCCTCACATAGGTGTCTGCCTGGCTACCAAACAGGCAGAAAGTGCTTTCATCACCGAAAAGCACCTTTTCCCACGTTTCATATGTCCAGCGTGACTTCTTCCATGTCCAGTCAATCCGGTTGCACCTTTGGACATCAGTCATCAGTGGCTTGTTGCGTGCCTTGCAACCCTGCAGACCAAACTGCGGGCACCGGCGACAAAACTGTTGATGAGGTGACACTGACATGACAGCTGTCTGACCACTCACACAGTGGCTGAGGTGAGGTCAACTTGCGATTGCTCAAGGGAATGCATCAAAGTGCATGATCCTAGCATGATTTTGATGCATGTGGATGACCAGACCGAGGCGTGTCTGCCACCAAACTCGCTTTTTTCTTTTGTACAACTGCTCTGTGACTGCAGCCGACTTTGTTAGTAATGAGGCTGCCACACATAATATCTGCTCTATGTAAATACACTCCCATAGCCACTAGGTTAGCTCTCACCTTCTTTCACAATTGTGTTGTGCAGTCTAACAAATGGCCCTTGAGCCATGAACAGTAGTGAATGTAGTGAATTGCTATGTTCTTAAATTACTTTTTGTAGTTTTGTGAACAACACCATTTATTAAACAAACGAATCTGCATTGGCAGAATGAAGAATTACAAATGAAAATAAACTATTATTTAAGAAATATTCCTTGGAACGACAAATTTTCATGGATTTTCATGCTGCCAGATTACTAACAAAGCTGTGCAATACCATTTAACATTTGTTATGTGTTTGAATTGGCTCTTGGTCATGCTGGTACAGACACGGTGTTGCCACCTCTGGCATCCATCACAGAGTATCTACAGTGGGATTAACAACATACAGTATAGGACAAGTAGCCATATTTTCCCATCTATCAAATGACTACAGTAATTTTCCTCACCCAGTCACCATCTTTATTTTGAAACTGTCCACACCATTGGCAGGCCTCCTCAAGAGATACTGTAAGGAAATAAGCATGAACTTACTGGTGAGCAGGCATTCATCATTATATTTATCAGCCAGTTTGCCAAGCATGTTCACACTCCCTTCTGACTGACTTTGCCTGAGTCACTTGCCCTTTATTGTGCTGTTGTGGGTTTTTTTCACTGTAACACAATTCAGTCTTCAA